CACCCAACCTTAGCCAAAAGAGCCTGATTGAAATGCTTAAACCGACGAAACCCCATCCCACCATCATGCTTACTACGACACATATTCCGCCAGGACATCCATCGAATCCGCGGATGGCCCTCCTCAGCCCCCCACCAGAACCGGGCCACATGCTTATCTAGTAAATGACACAGGGAGAGAGGCAGCATGAAACAAGACATAACATGCAATGGCAAAGCCAAAGCCACAACTTTGATCAAGGTTTCTTTGGCATCCCAAGAAAGCGTCCTCTGCTTCCACCCTTGGAGACGGCTTAGAAGCTTCTCCTCTAAGTACCGTAAAGTATCCATTTTCGACCGGGCAAGCAGAGTGGGCAATCCAAGGTACTTATCATGGACTCCAACCGCCCCCACCCCTAAAATCGTAGCCAGGAATTCTTGGTCTGGTAGTGCTACGTTCTTACTAAAGCATACCGCAGATTTATCCAAGTTCACCCGCTGACCACTAAGTTCATCATATTCATTTAGAACCTCGATAAAGTTTTCACACTCCTGTAACGAGCCTCGCAGGAATAAATAAGAGTCATCAGCAAAGAACAGGTGCGATATTCTTGGGGCCCTCGGAGCCACCTTAATTCCTTCAAGTCTATTCTCCGTGACTGCCTTGCGAAGGAGCGCAGCAAAGCCCTCCGTACAGAGTACAAACAGGAGAAGAGACATAGGGTCCCCCTGCCGAAGGCCCCTAGAGGGGGCGAAGTAACCCGACGGGGTGCCATTCATTAAAACTGAGAAAGACGCTGACCAGAGGCATTCAAAGATCCATCCCCTCCAAGTCGAATTAAAACCCATCTTTTCCAAAACGGCAAGAAGAAAGGACCACTCAACTCTGTCATAGGCCTTTTCCATGTCAACCTTTAGAGCCATGTATCCTTTCTTTCCTTGCGTCTTGATTTTCAGATAGTGCATTAACTCATGCTCAAGGAGGACGTTCTCAACAATCTGTCTATCACGAATGAAAGCATTCTGACCCTCTGAGATAAGTAGAGGTAAAAATCCCGCCAGCCGCTCAGCCATGATCTTGGTAATGATCTTATAGACGAGCTGACAAAGACTCATTGGGCGTAACTGACGCATAGTTTCCACATTCTCTACTTTGGGAATCAAAGTAAGCCACGTGTGATTAAAGTTACGGAGCATCTTGCTAGTCTCAAAGAATGAACAGACTGCTTCGACCACCGAAGGTCCCACGATATCCCAGAAGGATTTAAAGAATTTACCTGTGAACCCATCTGACCCAGGAGCCTGCTTGGCACCGATCGCAAACACCGTTTTACGAACTTCACCAGGCAGGACTGGAGCCGTTAAGCTAGCGTTCATATCAGGCGTCACCTTCTGGGCAATAGGCAACCCAACTACCCTCTCCGTCATATTGGAGACCTGAGTCTCAGACGAGAAGAGGCTGGTATAGAAGTTGGTTGCAATAGACGCCTTCCCCACCTCATCCGTGACCCAATCTCCATTCTCATTGCGAAGACCAGGCAAAAAATTCCTCTTCCGACGAGTCTTAGTCACCGTATGAAAGTAAGAAGTGTTCTTATCTCCCTTCTTTAACCAGGTTACTCGTGATTTCTGTTGCCAATAAACTTTTTCAGCCTCCCATTGCCGATTTAGTTCAACTTCCAGGTCACGAATCGTGTCCCAATCAATTGGGTGGGTAAGCTTAACGCGATCGATTTCATTCTGGAGAGTTTTGATATTTCTCAGGGAGTTGGTGGTACCTGCCCTACTCCAGTCATACAGCAGATGGCGAAGTTTCTTCAGACGTTCCCAAAGACGGAACATCGGAGTACCCTGGATCTCCTCCTGCCAAACATAATACACCATGGCCCGAACTTCCGGATTTTCTGCCCACCGAGCATCAAATCGAAAAAGAGGACGACTATATCGAGTATAAGGTTTATCTGAGAGTGGAGAGCCCGATGATCGGAACCCTGATCCGTAAAATGCTTAACCAAGGTATCGGGGTATCGATCGATCCACCCATGAGAGCATAAAGCCATGTCAAGGCGCTCGCGAATGCAAGCCGGGCCCATCCTCTTATTCGTCCAGGTGAATTGGTCTCCTTGATAACCAGGGTCATGAAGACCCAACTGGTGACTAAACTCACGAAGGCTCTCAGATTGAGCCGGGTTCCACGGGTCCCCACCATCTTTTTCATGCCCTTGAAGGATCGTATTAAGATCCTCAATCACCACAAAAGGGTTCCGGAGAGTAGCACAAATGTCACGGAGCTGAGCTAACTGGGTAGCCCTTATAAGAGTATTGCAACTAATATAAACACAAACCAAAATATAAGAGAAATTTCCTACTTTAATTTGAACACAAATACAAAAATCGGAATGATAAAACACCGAAGCCTCAACTTCGGGGTCCCAAGCTACAACTAGACCTCTGGACGCATCAATCGCATCCACGAAAAAACACTGGGAAACATCAAAATCTAAACCCCGCAAACGGCGGGAGACAACACGCCGGCTCGATCGTGTTTCAGAAAAAAACACAAGATCCGGATTATTCGAACGAACTAAACCTACTGCAATTTGGAATGTGAGTGATGGCCCAATTCCCCTCACATTCCAGGCGAGAAGCCTCATTTATCGGATTGGGGCCATTCATGGCTGGCTACCTCCACCATATCCGGAATTCCATCATCTTCCACAATCTTCTTTTGTGCTAACGGGGGATCATCCGCCTCCACCTCACTGGCCTCCAGCGGCCTTTTACGAGCCCCCCGAATAGGATCCACCAAGTTCGACCCATATTCATCCAATCCCGGGGCAATCATCGCGACCCCTTTATCCGGTCCGCAATCAGTGGCCTCGGTAATGGTCCTCACCCCCCCAATCACACCAGTTTCATTAGTGGGGTCGCCTCCAACATAGTTAATGGTCAGCCCAGATTCAAAAGCTTCCACCACTTGGTTCACATGCCCACAGGAAATTGGGCCGCACTTTTTCGGGTTATGGGCCGGAGCTCTCCTTACTACTTCGAAACCATGATTCTCCTCCTCTGAAGAGACCGCCGAGCCCATGTCCTCCAGGGGGGTTTTGGGCCGAGTTGGGTCCGCAATCACAGGGCCCGCCATGTCATCCGTTTCCCCCTTCTCACCCTCCTTCGAATAACACGCCGCCGACTGGGAGCATTCTTCCTTAAGGATGTGGCTGCCCAGCTTCACAGCCCCTTTCCGCAGCCGCTGTTTGGGAGGAACCAAAAGAGGCCCCCCCTGCTCCAGCGGTGTCCCCTTCTTCTTCGGCTTGCAGGAGGTTCGCCGCGGCTTCTGGCCGCTTTTCTCAGCAATCCTTGGACGCAAAACAGCGGCATGTTCCACCCTATGGGTCCCTGATGGCGCTTGCTCCGCTGGCAGGGCCAGGTCAGCACCATCATCATCCAGATCAGCCTCGAGGATGAGCCTTCTTCGCCGAGCCTGAACCTGTATCTCCACCATGGGGATTTCCTTCTCTACTTGAGACGCTGGACTGGGAGCATCAACCACCTTCTGGCTCGCCGCAGGTCGCACAAGGCCATGGTGATAGGAGTTAGATTCCCCAGCCTGCTGTTGAGAGGCATTTCGTTCCCTCGTAGCGCCGATCCCTGCAGAGCTCTTTTGCCCTTCCCAAACTGAACTTTAGGAGGCTTATGAACTGCAAACCCATGAGGGCTAGGCCTGGGCTTCGGTGATCGCCTCTCGTCGAGGGATCCACTAGGAATAGGCATGGAATACTCTGGGATTGCTTGCGTAGAGCTTCTGCCCACAACCTCCCTCATTGCGCCCCTAGCTCCTTCTGCAGCAATACACTCTTGGGCAGCCAATTTCATCCCATTCTTCCTTCCTTGCATAGTGCCACGAGCTTGTCGATTTACCCACACCGGGTTCCTCCCTCCCCTAAAGTTCTGGCCCTCACCATCCTCATCATAGATTTTGCGGCCCACCTTCTTAGTCGCCATATGGGGTCCGAAGCGCTCTTTCTCGCGCGGTGGGTCAAAGGTACATTCCCGCCGCGGATGACCCACTCTGCCGCAGTGGTAACAGAAGCTCGGCAGGAATTCGTACTTCAGGCCAACCCAAAAGCCATCCATTTTCTCACTTAACGCCATAAGTTGCGATCGAAGGGGTTTGGCAAAATCAATAATAGTTCGAACTTTGATAAAACGCTCGTCTGTGTCCTTGCAAGCAAAGACGCCAGATTCCAGGACTTTCCCAATAGCCGCGGACACCATTTTCCGTCCAAAATTCCTGGTACAACAGTCATCATTCACTCCCCATAATTGAACACGAAATGGGGCGATTGCCATCTCCTCATAGATAGCCTTGGTGATGACAGGCGTCCATGGTCTCAAGGTGAGCAGACGGTCTTTGATTACCCATGGGCTACGTGAGAGTGCCCATTTCTTCGCTTCTTCATTTGGTAGCATGATCTCGAGCAAGTCCATCTTAGTCCTCGAGACTTTAAGTTGCCCCTTGATCTGCCAAGCAGCCACCAAAGCATCCCGTAGCTCCACATTGGTGAACTGATCGCTGGAAAACAACCTTCCAATGAGTGTCCGGGATGCACGGACTTTGGTCGATTGAACCTCCCCTAACGAGAACTGAACCACTTGATCCTCGGACACATGAGCCATCATTTTCACCTGGCAAGCAGAGGAAGTATTGAAAAGCAGATCAGTATTATTATTTTCACACCCGAGCGGCTCTTCCAACCAAGGCTGGACCATCGCAAGGTCCAAAGGAAGAGGCCGCCTAACAGGTGAAGGATAGGGGGGACTAAGAGATGAAAGATAAAGAATAGGCCCAGCACTCGCATTTACCATACCTGAACACAGGTTAGTTGCCACAGCTTTTGCACTAGGCTGCTCTGAATCGATGCCACTCTCGCAAAGCTTCTGGGAAATAGGACGTGCTAGGAACCGCACCACAGGGTTCAAATTTATAACTAGGATACTCGGAGTCCCCCTTCCCCCAATTCAAGTTTGATTAGAAGTGGGAGTCCCGCCTTCAGAGAGATTCGTGAGAATCCTACTCCGGCGAATTCGATTGTAACCCAACCACCCAAGAAGTTCGGGATTTTTTTGCTTTCTAACCGCCAGGGAGCGCGCAGCCCGACTCCCCCGGGATTGGTATCCGACCCAACGCGGATCCGGAAACAGGAACCTACCGGCCGTGCCACGGGTATACCACCTCACTTCCGTCTTCGCCGACCAAGCTTCCGCCGGCGTTTGGGATTCCATCCTCTTCCAAGGACCATTTTTGATTATTTGCTCCAACTGATTAACAGCAGCCATTTCAGAGCACGATAAAGCGTAATTTTTCACTCCCTCCGTGGTTAACAGCGATTCATCGCCTTCCATTTCGGCTGGAGAGGGAAGCCAGAAAATCCAGCCCCTCGACGAACGAACTCTGGGTCTTTTCACCCTCTTGTCCGGAGAGGATTCCAAATCCTCTCTCAGGGTGTAACTCTTGCGTTTAGGCAGTTGCCTACCAGATCGAATCAAGGTCCCCGTTGGGGATTGATCATAAGCATCATCTCCAGTCGAAGTCCCAGCCGGGGATCGACCAATCGCTACATCGCCGTTCCTGGGGCGTACCGCCCCCATTTTGCTGCGGCCAATTTCCGTTGCCGCATACTTGGATCGACTCCAGGAGGTCACCTGATTTTCCAGACTGGCGGCGAAGCAAGCATAGAAGATCTGCAGAAGACGTTCACCTAGCCAGATTGACAAAGCTAGGAGAGAGGAGAGAGCTCCTCTCATTTTTTTTTTCAAGATTCCTTTCCGCACCTGTTCTAGTATAGAAGTATTCACCTAGCAAAAATTCATCACAATGGTATGGGTTAATAATTACATATATATCTTTATGACATTTCTAACAACAACAAATAATTATTTTTCTCCTTATGTTTTTTAATATTTGAACCTATAATTCTTTTTATATTTATTTTCTATAAAATAAATATTATTTTTGTGCCATGTCCGTTCTTATACTCAAGAAAGTCTCGAAAATATTAGGCCCGGCACGGCCCATAAATTATTCGTGTTCGTGCCGGGCTGGCCCATTTATTTCGTGCCCGTGCTTGTGCCGTGTTCTAGCCGTGTCGTGCCGTGCTGGACGGCACGGCCCGGTGCCCACGTACAGACTCCTGATGCACCTAATGGATACTCGCCTAATAGACACACAGGGTGCCTACTGTTCCCTAACCAAATAATAAAGTCCTGATGCACCTAATAGATACTCGCCTCATCTTGCAACATGCTATCCATGAACTAAAGGGTTGGTCTGGGAGATGTTGCCTTTGTCTAAAGTTGGTACTCAACAAGAGATCAAGATGGGGCTCAAGGACGATGCAAGTGTGATTTTTTTTCCCCGATGAATTGGTTGGGATTTCTATTTCAGCAAAAAGGTGGCAAATACTTGTTGGCAACACACTCTGCCAATTGATCAAAGAAACCTATAGACAAGTAATAACCTATAAACTGCCTAACAAGCAGAACAAACTAACTCAAACAAAGTAGAAAGCTAGAAAAGCTGGTCCAAACACAATGGATCCAAAAACAACCTCAAATCACTCTTCACTCGACGGATCAGCTCATTGATATCCAGCACACCTTCTCCAAATTTCACTCTGCATCTTTCCCTCCAAGTGGTGGCAATCAAACTCTGCCAAATAACTCTCCCCACCTGAGCAACAACATTCTTCTTTTGAAAATGCAAGGATGCCCACTGAAGCTCCGCCAGCCACTGGTTTCCAGGGGAACGATATGAATATATAGTGAACAGAGCTGCAAACAATTGCTTGTATAGTCGACATTCAGCAAATAAACGAGAACGTGTTTCTAGAGTATGAGAACAAAATACACAGCAGTGGCTACCAGCAAGCCCCCACCCTTGAGCTTTGTCACCTGTCACAATGTAATCATTCACAATAAGCCACACCAGGAACTGGTTTCTTGGAATACAAGGTCCCTTCCAAACCAGAGAGCTCCACTGAACAAGGACTTTTTTAGGTTTGATTTCCTCCCAAACTTTCTTAATCATGAACTTTACCATTAGATCCCCTTTTCAATGAACTCCATCATCCTCCACAGACAGCCAATTTCTCAACTTGTCCCTACTCTTTAGCAGTTTAAGCCAAAGCCAAGAACTTGCCTTGGTAGTTAAAGTCCAAAAATCAGCCCTTTTGATTATGTATTCCCAGATCCAAGCCACCCATAAAGACCCTTCTTTCAAAAGGATAGCCCAAATATGCCTAGTAACACGGACAAAGTTCCAAGAGGCCATATCTCTCAATCCTAGCCCACCTTCCTTCTTGGGGAAAGTTACCCTAGACCAAGCAACCACTGCCTTCTTTCGAGAGCCATCTCTCCCCCCCCCCCCCCCACACACACACACACAGGAAGTCACTACATAGTTTCTCAATAGCTCTTATAACTGTTTTTGGAAGGATAAAGATGGACATCTAGAACTGAGTTAGACTGTACAACACTGACATAACCAACTGGAATTTGCCAGCATATGTCAAAGACTTTGACTTCCAACTGGTGATTCTTCTTGTAACTTTTTGAATCGGAGGAGCACAAGCTGTAATAGTTAGTTTACCTGCCAACAAGGGAAGGCCTAGGTATCGAATAGGAAGGACCCTCAACTTATACCCTGAATAACTTGCCATTGACTCTTGCCATTGCTCACTTATCCCACCACAATATAACTCACATTTTGCTGGGTTCGATTGAAGACCAGACATTATCCTAAACTCAGTCAAGACTTTTTTAATACATTGAATCCCAAAATTAGAACCATCAGAAAATAATAATAGATCATCAGCAAACATTAGATGAGTTAGCTTCAGCCTCTTACACATAGGGTGGAAAGGCATTTCATTCTGCTTAACAACCTCATTCATAAGACAAGAGAAAATTTCCATAGCCATTGCAAACAGATAGGGTGAAAGGGGATCACCCTGCCTCAAGCCCTTCTTAGCTAAAATATCCAACTCATCCACCATTAAATCCAATACTCAACTTTGGTGTTGTCACACACATTCTCAGCCACTTTAAGAATTTATCAGGTATCCCCATAGCTTGTAAAACATTGAAAAGGAACCCCCAATCTACTAAGTCAAATGTCTTCATCAAATCAACCTTTACTAAGGATCTAGGAGAGATATTCTTTCTACCATATTTTTGGACCAGTTCATGTGCAAGTAGAATATTCTCCCCAATGACTCTTCCTTTAACAAAAGCAATATGGGATTCACTTATGATTCTAGGCATGACAGAACTTAGTCTAGTTGCTAAGATTTTGGCCATACATTTATATAGTATGTTGCAACAGGATATTGGCCTAAAAAATTTCATTCCCTCAGGGTTCTGGATCTTAGGTATAAGAGCAAGGAGAGTGGAATTTGTACTCACATGTATATTAGACACATGAAAACAGTAGAAAATGGCATTAGTCACCTCCTCTCCAATAATACTCCAAGCTGCCTGGAAAAAGCAAGCTGGGAACCCATTAGGGCCAGGAGCCTTCTCTCCATGGAAGCCAAATAAAGTAGAGCGTACTTCCTCAGCAGTGATAGGACAGCAAAGCTCCACCCCCTGTTCAGGCAGTAAGTTTTCATCAGAATTCTCTTTATCTGGGCAACTTCTGGAAGAACTCAGCTTCCTATAGAAGCACTCAGCAATCCTGGACATCCCATCAGTATCTGTTACCCTCAAGCCAAACTCATCAAGTAGTGATCTGATCATGTTCCTCTTCTGTCGACTTTTAACTGAATTATGGAAATAAGGGGTGTTTGAGTCACCCTCTTTGAGCCAGACTTCCCTAGACTTCTGTAGAAAGAAAGACTCTTTAGCCTCCCTTAACTCTTTAGCCTCTCTAGCAAGTCGAAGCTCCATTTCAAAGGTAATAGGAGAAGGATTCTTTAAGGCCTCAGCCTGAGCTTCCAACAATTCCGTCGCCTTTAAACGTACTCTTTCACTCAAATCAGAGTAAACATCTTTATTCAACTTCTTGAGTAACCCTTTGAGGATCTTCAGCTTCTTACAAACACAAACTAAAGGCGACCCATCTACTTGCACCATCCAAGCCTCCTTTACCAGATCCATAAACCTAGGGTGCTTAATCCAGAATTTGAAGAACTTGAAGAGCTTTGACAAAGATTTAACAGAGCTATCAGTATTTAGAAGTATTGGACAGTGATCTGACACTGATGGATCTAAGAGATCAACAGTACTAGATTTTAAGCCGCAAGCCATTTGACATTGACAAACACACGATCCACCCTCCTAGCAATTGGGTTTCCCAATTGCTTGTTTATCCATGTGAACCACGGACCAGATGCCTTGTGCTCCTCTAGCTCGCAATCAAATTGCCACTGTCTGAAGTCAGACATACTACTAGAGAAGTGAGGCGAATTAGAAGCCTCACTTACATCACCAATTGCATTAAAATCACCCAGCACTGCCCATGGAGCTGAGCCAACTCTGAAAACTTCCAAGTCACTATAAAGAACCCTTCTACCTTGTTCCTCTTTTGATGCATAAACCACCAAGAGGAAAAATGGGACACCTGAAGCAACCATCATATGAATGAACCGATCCGTCTTATGAAGAACAGTAGCTGAATATCAGACTTCCACAATAACCATAACTTGCCCAAACCACTAGCATTGTTTGACACTTTATACTCCCAACATGGAAACCGCTTACTTATCAATTCATCTGCCTTATTTTGCCTAACTCTAGGCTCAAGTATAACTAGTATATCAATATTATATCTATTAACTAGCTGTCTAACAGCTTTATTCTTATCCGGGTCATTAAATCCCCGGACATTCCAAGTGAGAATCTTCATCTCTTCTTACCAGACATTCCCCCTTTACGAGGAAGAATTGGTGCAACCAATGTAGTCAAAATCGCGCTTTAAAACTTAAAAACTTACGATTTTACGTTTCTAGTTCACTAAAACGCTTCTACACAAAATCTCAGTTTTTATAACTTATGTAGTTAAAAACTCCGTTTTAAAACTTAAAAACTTACGATTTTACGCTTCTAGATCACCAAAACGTTTCTACGTAGAAACTCGCTTTTGACTACATTGGGTGCAACCCGAGGTGTAGATGGCTTCTGTTTAGCACTTCCAACCATAATCCATAGATTAGGTTATTTCTCCTTTTCAGCTGTAGGTGTCTGAGAGACTACCCTCCCAGAATCTGATGAGATAGTCCCAACAAACTATTGTATCAGTTGACTAGGACTCCCAGCCTGGACTGGCGACCCTATGACAACATCAACAAAGATAACAGCTGCACTCCCAATTGGCGTGGAAGTAGATGCTTCCTGCCCACTAAGATCCACCTCCTTCCCTTTGGACACCATACTTACCACAATAGTACCATTGTCCACTTCAGTCTGCACTACAACATCCTCATCAGAGGCCACCTGAGCAACTTTGGCAGTCTCCTTCTCAGCTACTGTAGAGCTAGAATCAGAGGACTTGGAATCCCCTTTAATGACCCACTTCTTATTACTATTTGCCAAGATTGAACAGTCATGCCCATACACTTGATAGTTTGAGCACACCCTAGGCAAATTCAGATACTCAATAGACACCTCAAAAAGCGGGTCATCATTAGGATAAAGACGAACCTTAGAAGGAAACCACACTCCGCCGAAAGATCCACGCATACCTTGACAAACCCCAACTGACCTCTCATCCTGTTAGTTTTTGTCCATCCAGAGAGGCGGACCCAGAG